AACAGATAAGGACACTGATCAGGTATAAACTTGATCCTGTAGCAAATGTTGCTGATGATGAGCTACTGTAAAAAGCAATCAGCTGATGTTCATGCATGCAAACCAATAGCCTCTTCCACATGTTACAAAAATCCTGTCTGCGCTTTGATTTTTTTTAATGTAATTTTTTTTTTTTTACTGTAAGGAAGAAGATGATACTCAAATTCCAGCGTGTTCGCGCTGAGCTGCTACTGATAGCACTGAACACAAGGCTGACCCCGGGCACTCACAGACGGAGAAGCCTTCAAGTTGATGACAAACCAAACACTTAAGCTTTGCATAAATTTGCCTTCTTATTTTTTGGATGTAGCCCCTCGAAGATTCTGTTCTGATTGTGTTTTTATAGCGAGATATGAAAGGTCCTCAGTCCATCATCACCATGCTTTACACCGATCCTGAGCGTAAACACCTTACTGCTGAATTAAACTTTCTCTGGAAATCCACATGGGATTCCCCCCGGCTCTGTGAAGGGGTTCCTATCTGCCTCATTAGGATTTCATTGTAAACCATCATCATCATCATCATCATCATCATCATTACCATCGTGACCTTGCTGACGTCCCTTTTAGTGAATAGAGTGGTTACTGCTCAGCAGGTCCACATTGCTGGGAAAAGGGCACAATGTCCCAAGACAGGCACGTCTTGAGACCCCAGGGAGCAACAACACGTCTGTGTGCGTGTCTATCGTGAGTTTCGGGGCGAACGTGACATGAAGCACCTACTGCATCACTGCTGCGGAAAAACACAGACGCCGCGTCCTGAACCGATGCGCGCACGCCTAGGATGTATTCTATTATCACCGGGTAGGCTGAAATAAAGATGTTCACTTACCCTTCAGTTTTGTCCCAACTTCACGAAGATGAAGCACGCATTGGCAGCTGTCGCAGTCCGTCCATAAAAAGAATAACAGCGCAGAGTGAGAAGAAGAAGGGGGCGGCGGCGTTGGTTAAATGTCAGCGATTCACATTGGCCCGGTGCGCTCGGGTCGTGCGGAGGGACGGGACGCTCATGGCCTGCGATGCAGGAAGGAGGCTGGGTTGGTGAGCTTGGAGTCTCCGCCCACACATTATTCATGAGCTGCACTCCTATTGGCCCCTGGCTTCTCCGTGTCTCCGCCTTTTACATAAAACACCACAGGAACTGGGTGTTTTCCTCGGCGGGGACGTGCGATTGGCTGGGAAGTGGTTAAAGAGCTGCTGTTATTGGTGAACGAATGTTTTAGCCGTGCACAAGAGGGGAGTCACGTACAGCAGGGAGCTTTTTCTAGTTTCCTGTGAGAAGGGGGAGAGCCAGAGCTATTTATAAGCTTCTCAGAGGGCTATAGTTTTAAAAAATACAGTATGACTAGAGACATTCGTGGACTATCCTACCTATGGAGCTACTTAGAGGTATCAGATTAAAGTAAAACCTTGACCTCTCCATCCCTACAGTGAAGAGATCCAGTGGGTCTGTTATGCTGCGGGCGGATATTTGCTGGCATGTTGTTGAGAGAGGGGTCAGGGCAAACGGACACAGAGTAGTTCTGAGTGATCACATTGAACTTACTAAAAAGCATTTATAGTCTGATAGGAGTGGTCTTTTCCTGGACAGCAGTGCTCCTCCACAGGGAGTCACTGAATGGTGTGATGAGAATGTGAATCATATGTTATGGCCTCCACTAGATCCCAGCCACCACCGAACCCCTGTGGGAGACACTGGACCAGTGTGACGGTGTTCTCCACCACGCTGAAAATGATCTCTGCTGCCACTCTATAAATGTTGCTGCACACAATGAAGGATCTCAGCTTTCTTTAGGAATGCTGTTTTCCTATGTGTACAGTAAGAAACCGTACTATATGTATAGAGTATATTACTCTAACTGCAAAAGATTATTGGAAAAATATTAAATCACTGCTATAATTCTTCTTTTGTAACTTCATTTAAAATAGTACACAGTAGTAGTGTATTGTAAATGCGAATACAGTAATAATACTGTAAAAAATGCATTTAAATGCCAGTACTTTACTGTAAGATACAACAAATTCAAATTTTATTTGTCACGTACACAGTCATACACAGTACGATATGTAGTGAAATGCTTGGACAACTGCTCGTGACCTAAAGAAAACAAAAAGGGAAAAGGCTATGAATAAGATAGGAAATAAATATGAAAAATTAAAAAGGGTAAATTTAACTAGGAAGGAATAAAATATAAATTAAGGTTAAAAATGAAATAACTGTACAACACAAATTAGAATGAAGGGTAAATTTAACTGGGAAAGAATAAGATAAAATATATAAGTTGAAAATAAGTTGAAAATAAAATAACTGTACAACAAAATACACAATATAGAACTATATAAGAATGTATGAAGAAATATAAATAAATATATACACAATAACAGTAGCTGTACAAGTATTAACTGGAAATGAAGAATGTAGTGACCAGTGTTGTGCAATCCATAACCTTTTCCCAGCACAAAATCATCAAACCACCAAAATGGAGAAAATATTTTGACTATAATGTTCATATTTTTTAGCAGAGCTCCGAGGACGCTGGAAGAACCAGTACTAAAAGTGTTCTGCTGGCACGTGGTAACCTTACCCTTTACGAAAGCCACTTTACGTTTTTCTTTCATCTGTAGATTAGTACACTTCCTCTTGTCAACTCCAAATTGTGCAAAACAGCTTATCTCCAAACTATATTCTATTGCTCAATAATACATCTGCAGCAGTCATAGTTTAGAAAGTATAGTCTTGATTTAGTCCAGTCCATTCGCTTTATTGTGAGTTTTTCTATTTATAAATAGATGTTTTTATATTTGGTATGGTTCTATTATATCTTAATGCCTCTTCATTCCAGCTCACATTTTCATTCCAGTGTTTTACAGACTGCGCGTCTCAAGCGCTTACCAGTATCTTGAGCTGCGCTTCAGCAAAGCATTACATTGTTGAGTTCAGATACAAGTGCAGACACTTTATCAGCCATTTCCTCCTGCCATGAGGATTTAACAGTTTTTATTAAAAGTGAAGTCATTTAAAGTGACAACACATATTATATATTCAGTCTGTTCTTATGACTATATAAGAAAAATAAAGTAATTTATATCCATATATAGGCATGCATTAACTATTTAATACGTGTATAAGCATGCATGAATAAACAATTAACTAATTTGCCAATTCTAACTCAATTATACTACCTAAATGAATGAAGCATGCCAAATATCTATTTATCTGTCTATCTAAAAAAAAAACAAAAAAAAAACAGGAAAGACGGTTAAAAAAAAAGCAAATTTCCCTCCATTACTACTACGTACTATCCGACGTCATTTTGCCGGGAAAACACCGTCTTTTTGTTGCACTGGGTTTAGTCGAGTCGCGCTCAACTTCCTCTTTTATGCCGTTAGGTTTCCGCCCATTCTGTGACGTGGTTGGCCATTGCTTTATTTCTTAGCCTGGTATCTAGACGCAAAATTTCCGCGCGTTCGTCGGTGAAAGTTTGCAAATCAAAGAAGGGTGGCGGGAGCAGTTCTCAGTCCGGTTCTGTTGTGAGGAAGTGCCATTGTTAGGCGTTTAGAAGTTAGAAACGCAGCAGCCACTGATAAGTTTTCGTGGCAGATTTCACGGAAGGATTGCTTCTACAACTGGGTAAGATTAGCCCGAGGGCGCGAGACCTGTATGTGTTTATACCCGCGCGCTAGCTTACTGCCTTAGCTCTTACAAAGAAAAGAAACGTCCGTGTACCTTGTCATGAGGCTTTACTGCTCCATTATTGAGTGTCATATAATTTCATACCTTCCAGTCAAATGTTACATTTGAAAGTACGCCACTGACACGTGGATGAATTATCACAAATGTAGAGGTGAAGGGGACAGAGACCTGCACTGTTTGGATGTGAGGCTAACTGTGTCGTGTGCTGTGTGGAGCTACAAGGTGTGCGACAGCACTCACAGTAACATGGCAACAGGCTGTGCGGTGGGAAGGTTGTGGATGATTACTACTAGTCCCATGACTAATAAGCACCAGTTTATGCTTTACTGTGTTTTTGACGGTCGGTGTCGAGACTGCATGTGTTCCCTTTTATCCTGTGTTCTGATATCGCTCCTTCTTCTTATTGTAACTCTGTACATTCTACCTTTCACTTGTAAATACCCTCCAGTGCAGCTATAATGAGTTATTACTGAAAGCATTGCACTAATTTTATCTGTCACTGGCCTACATTACATATTTACTCATTATATGAGTATACTGATACAGATCAGGAGTAATATAGACTGAGCAAAGAGTCATACTTACAGGATTTTCCTTGCATAAACAATTTTGGTTCATTTCTGTTTAGAAAATGGTTAGAAGAATATGTTAAATGCCGAGCTTTATGTTAACTAAAACTCATTTTCCTAACTACACTTTGACCGCATGAGCTTGCACATTTAAGTGCTTAAACATATTACAGACTTTTAACCTCCAAGTTTGTTCCATAGATTTTTACCAAGTTTTCTTTAAATCAGCTTGCAGGCATGGATCATAAACGACACAACGGCAGCCGTCTCATGGGTGGTCCATCCCAGGCCAAACGGGGTAAAACGATGGGTGAATGGGAGGACAGTCCTTCGCAGTTTGAAGAGGAGTTGTCCATGTTTGAAGAAGCAGATATGGATGCAGAGGAGATGGAGGGGCAGGCAGGACACGATGTTATTCCAGTAGGTGAGTATTAAACTGCAAAGCGCACATTCACAGGTGATGTAAATGCTCTCATCACACAGGAGGAATTTAATGAGTTATTTAGTGACCTGTAGTAAAGTTACAGATCCCTCAAGCATGATAATTTAATTTCTTCTTCCATCCTGTCAGGTGACCTTTTCTCAGCAGACCTAAACCCTCGCTGGCGACGTCCTCCTGCCCCCTCACTGGACCCATCATCTGATACTCTGGTGTTCCAGCAGATTGATCTGGACTACTATTTGGGTAATTATCAAATATAATGTTTGTCAAAGCTGCTTTTGCTCTAAATTTGAGTCCCAGAAATATCGACCTGGCGAGCTTGTAGCATGATATGAAAACATCCGAGCTGACTTACAGTTATATCAACCTTTCAGAGCATATTCGTTGTTGCTTATGAATATTGTGGTGTGTAATTTGGCTTTCAATGGTTTTGTGTCATGCAGGGGAAACGGTAGCGGGCATGCCCGGTCAGTCGCAAGGAAAAGTGCCAATCATTCGGATGTTTGGTGTAACAGACAATGGCAACAGCGTGTGCTGCCATGTTCACGGCTTTGCCCCTTACTTCTACGTCCCTGCTCCAAATGGTGAGTGCTTGTCATCATGTTGACTTTGCATTTATGTGAAATACTACGTTTCCTCACTATAAATAGCTTTAAAGTAGCTGTTACAGTTGTAACCGCTTCTCTTTGTTCTGAGCTGTCTAATTTCTGCTTTTAGGGAGAAAATAATGAAAATGTAATTCATGCTCTAAATCTAATGTTGCCCTCTGGTTGCTTTAATTGAAAAGGGTTCACGTCTGCTCACCTGGTGGAATTTAAAAAGGAGCTGAACTCTGCTGTCCTGAAGGACATGCGCTCCAATAAGGACAATATCTCAGTCACAGTGTTGGCTGTGGACATCACCCGCAAAGAGAGTGAGTACAAGTTTATTATTAAGTGGAAAAAAACAAAAAAACTGAGTCTGTGAAGACCAGCACAAATGCAGATGTGTATTGTGATCAAGGTCTTGAACCTTGTTGGATAGCAACATTCAGTAATACATTAACTTTTATACTTTATTACTGTGTGTTACAATCTTATACGATTATAAAACAAAATGGTGTTCATTTGAGATGAAAACGTCACTTATCCCTCTTTTTGTTTTTGTTTTTTTGTTTCTTTCTCACAGGCATGTATGGTTACCATGGGAAACGCATTATCGATTTCTTGCGGATAACCATGGCGATGCCTCGTCTCATCGCCCCCGCAAAGAGACTGCTGGAACAGGGCTTTAAGTTTGCCCATTTCCCTACCAGCAATTACCAATCCTACGAGGCCAACATAGACTTTG